ATGGAGCTCTTGGGCTTCCCACGCCTGTCGGTGTCCTGACAAACAGCACCGTCCCAAGCAGGGTGGAAATCCGGCCTTCTTTCTCAGTGAGAACTAGACCCAAAGACGAGAACTAGATACCAAAGAGATGCACGTGCTGGCGTCTTGCCACCCTGCTTTGTTTTTCTCTGTAGACAGAGGTCCCTGGGAAGCCGAGGCATAAAGCTAAGAGACTCGTTTTGGGGGCACTTTGTCAAGGAGGCGAAAAGCAGCAATGAAGGAGGCGGATCCTGGGTGTGTTTGAGGAGCACTGAGCGCCTGCCCTATACACATAGGGAACTCCCAGGACACTGCAGCAGACAACTCAGGCTCCCCAGCATGCACACAGCCACCGTCCCAACCTATCCCCTGTCACCAAAACAGCTCACTGGTGGATCGATCAATCGATTGATTAAATCATGTCATTTAGCTCCATCGATTTAATCATGTCGTTTGCTGTTTCGCATTCTTCCTTTCCTGCCCAGTGCAATTAAAAGTCCCCACCGCTGGACATGGTCTCCGCGGCTTCCACCAGCAGGTTCCTGCCTGCCCTTCCGCTGTGGCTCCCACACACTCCATCCAAATAGCCATCCCCCGGGTTCTTGGGAAGCCGTGCACCTTCCAGCCTCAGTCTTCATGCACCCTCCCCTCTGCCTGAAGCCTTTTCCCCCACCTCCCCCTCCACATGGACCACGCTCTCCTCCTTGCCCACTGCTTACCGCCCCCCTTGCTTCAGAAAACTCTCTTCACACCTCCTAATCAGGGTGAGCGCTCCTCCCAGCAGCCTCCCACCCAGGACCCTCCGCTGCCTTCAACAGTGCCCCATAGTTTTTTGTTCACTTTTTAGTGTTTCCACTGTGCATTGACTGAGCGTGTAACTGGGTTGCTGGCTTAATCAGCATTTATATCCATGACTTGGATGTCAGCATAAAATAGTACACTATGAAAATCCCGGAGACCAGGAAGCTGGGGAGAATATCAAATTATTGAAAGCACACGTACAGTCTGAAATTATGAGCTAATTCAGTGAGATGAAATTTAATGCAAATACATGGAAGGCCTTAAAATTGGGCTGAAAAAGAAGAAAACAATTGCGTAGAGAGCTACACCCCGATACAACACGAGTGTCTTGCAGGGGTCTGAGTTGAATTGTAATTTTAATCCACCATTGGTAGAAGTGACTTTGGGATGTGTTTTTGGATGTATTATTTCACCAAATTCTTATTATAAGTCAGCAGTCAGATAACAGAATGTAAGACACTGATGCTATCTTGAGCTGAAAAACTAGAAATATACTATTTATTTCAAAAGATGTAATGGCCCCACTGGTCTTTATTGGAGAGACCATAGCCAGAGAAATGCAGTTAATCCTAGGGAACACACTTCAGGACAGACCTCGACAAAATGGAGTGTGTTCCAACGCGGAGCGGTGGGCAGACATTCCGCAACTCAGTTCCTAGATCCGTTGGAGGGATGATGGCTGCTTTACCCAGAGGGAGCCAGAGAGCGGCCTTTAAATACCTCGAGAGCGCCAGACGACACGAAGAGAGGACTCGGTCTATATTTATCCAGAAGTCGGAACAAGGAGCCACAGCCAGAGGAATCACAGAAAGCAGATGCCCATTCATCCAAAGAGGATGTTTCACATCATCAAAGTGGTTAAAAATGGACCGGCCGCTGCGGGAGATAGTGAGTTCCCGCTTCACACGGAGGCTGGAAGCCCAAGGAGCAGAGCTTGCATGGAGAGGAGATGTTTCACGTAGCGTGGCAGGTGCATGTTCGTAGCGGGGCTGTGTTCCTGCATGCATAGCAGGTTCCCACACAGTCCAGAGCGGGCTGTGGCCCTCTGGGGGTCTCCTAGGCTGTCGTGTCCTTCCACTGGTGCTGATGGGTGGGAGCCAATCACACCCATTTCTGAGGGCTTCCAATTTTAGATTTTTTAAAAAGATTTATTTATTTGAGAGAGAGAGTTACAGACAGTGAGAGGGAGAGACAGAGAGAGGTCTTCCATCCACTGGTTCTCTCCCCAGATGGCCGCAATGGCCAGAGCTGTGCCAATCCAAAGCCAGGAGCCAGGAGCTTCTTTCATGTTTCCCACATGGGTGCAGGGGCCCAAGGACTTGGGCCATCTTCTACTGCCTTCCCAGGCCATAGCAGAGAGCTGGCTTGGAAGAGGAGTGGCCAGCATACCAACCAGTGCCCATTTGGGATGCCAGGACTCCAGGTGGCGGCTTTAACCACTATGGCACAGCACCGGCCCCTAGATATTTTAAAAAGCAAAATTGCTGCAAGGCGTTATTCTAGGATAGAGGACCAGGTGAGTTCATTACCAGCTGCTTTCACCTGGGTCACTTACGAGTCTGCAGATCTTTCGTTGGCTGGTTGAAGCCTGGGGATTATGACCTTAATGAGCCTAGATCTTCAGAGACAGGCAGCATGGAAGAGGTGTGGAGAATTGAACATCTTCAGCCCCAGCAAAACGAGGAAGAAAGTACCCTTCAGGGGACCACGTAGTGCTGCAAGATTCTGACATGGGTGAAGATAAACCCGCATCTTGTACTTCCTGTTTGTCGCATGTGGCTGTCCGATTAACCCATGGGACACTGTGCCCTGGGAACTGCCCACCACACTTCCTGTTCCAAGAGCCATAGGAAGACCACGCCCCCACGGGGTGCCAGGCCTTGTGCCACACCTGCTGCCTCTTACATTGTGAAACCTTTTGGGAAATTCTCAGATTAGTGTCCTCATTGTGAGGGTGAGAAAACTCACTGAGCAGGATGGGTTAAATATATCTGGATCACTTTCTTTCTTTCTTAGATTATTATTTTTTTAATTTCTTAATTTTTTGACAGGAAGAGTGGACAGTGAGACAGAGAGACAGAGAGAAAGGTCTTCCTTTGCTGTTGGTTCATACCAACGTCTATCCGAAGGCAGGAGCCACGTGCTTCTCCTGGTCTCCCATGGGGTGCAGGGCCCAAGCACTTGGGCCATCCTCCACTGCACTCCCTGGCCACAGCAGAGAGCTGGCCTGGAAGAGGGGCAACCAGGACAGAACCTGGCGCCCCGACTGGGACTAGAACCCGGTGTGCTGGCGCCGCAAGGCGGAAGCCAGATTATTTGTTTTTATCAACAAACAATAATTGTACATATTTATGGGGTGCAATGTAATATTTCGACACATGCATAGATTTTAATGATCAAATTAGGATAATTAGCATTTGTCACTTCATATATTCAATATTTCTTTGTATTGTGAACATCCAAAAGCCTTTCTTCTAGCTATTTAGAAAAATACTCTGTTATTGTTAGCTATTGTTACCCTGCTGTATGATGGAACACCAGGATTATTTTTACAATAAGGAAAACAATATTCCTATTCAATAAAAGTATATATAAGCAATTAACTTTGAAGAAGAACCCAAGGATGATACGTCTTTTGAAAGCACTTAGAACTATCACTTATAAGACATTAGAATATCCTGCACTTAATACACTAAAACGAAATAAATCTTTGAGAGCAGATTTTACTGTTAACTCTCACAATGCAACTCTCTGAGGACAGAGGTCCTGCATGGGGAGTTAGTGCACAGTGACTCCTGTTGTTAACTTAACAGTCTAATGTGTGACGTCAGCGATCACCCGAGGTTCATGACGTGAGCTGCCTAGGCTATGGACGCCTTTTGAGTCCACAAACGCGTTCCATATTTAGACAGGGCCACAGGCAAAGTGGAAGTTCTCTCCTCTCTTCAGAGAAAAGCACACTGGATTCTGACTCAGGATTGCCTGAATTCTCAATGTATCGAGACTGTATCAGAAACTGTACAACTTCAGAGCTGGACGGAACCGTTAAGAACTCACTTCCTGTTTTTACCTATGAGGAAAACACGGAAGCCCAGGGAACCAGGAGTCCCACCTGGGAACAACAGGGAAAAGCCGGGGAGGCCATGTGAGGGCTTCCATGGCAGCACTCCCAGCGTGGCTAGAGGTCAACAGTGGTGCTCACGAAATGGTGCGCTCACAGCCCCAAGGGCAGAGCGTGCAGCAGGCACGCCCCGAGAGGGAGGGAGGCCAGCAGGCCAACGAACCCCGCCTCCCGCCCAACCTTCTCTCCTCACGCCCTTTGCAACTGCAGTGCCACATACGGAAATCCTTCCTAGACCAGATCTTCTAACCTGCAGTGGACTTGGGTAGCTGGAGGGGGATGAACCTGTACCCAGGGCTATCACGTGTCAGTCTTGGTGAAGGGCATTCGCGCCACACGTCACATTCCTTAGGTCATCTCCTATAAGATGTGCATTGGTCTCTCCTTGTTTTCCCATGAGCACATGGCTTTGAGTTACGCCTGTCAGCACAGCTGACACCCTGCTTCCGAAACTCAGAGCCATGAAATAGACCAGGTTGTACTGCAGTTGGGTCACTCCACGGGGGGTGCTTTTCTGCCTGGGGGAATGGGAACGATCAATCACACGGCCTCCCCTTCCTGCCCTCGAGGGACCAGATCTGTCTTTAGAATGACAGAGAAGGGGGTATTTGACGCTTCCTCCAGCAAGAGGACTCTGTAAATGGCCGGCTCTGCCCTTACAGTGTCCCCGTGGGGTTTTGCCAGAATCGATTCTTCCTTAGAAAGGTGTGAAAATTGGAGTGTCTCCTCCTGCTTGTCCTCAGTCAGTCACCCAGTGAGAACAGTCGTGACAGGACCAACACCCAGCAGGAGAGCTACAACCCGAAGAGTGAACCCTGGCAGTGGCTTCTCTGCCACCAGGTGTCGGGATGCGTCTTCCCCAGAGTGAGTGCCGGGTGGTCTGGAACGTGATCACGAATGGGAACAGCTTTCAAGAGCTCTGTTCAAAAGCAGGAGTGTCCAAGGGGCTGATGCCCATGTTTAGGTGTCAACAGACCCGGCTGTCTTCCTGCTGTTTTCTGAGTTCGTGTTTCACCCAGAGTTGCTCAGCGGCGTCCCCTTGTGTTTTCTTTGTGTCCAGACTACCTCAGTGTCACAGACGTGCACCTCTTCAAGGAGAGATGGGACACCAACAAGATTGAGCACCACACCGACAAGTATGACAACAGCAAGCTGATTGTGCGCAGGGGGCAGCCCTTCTACGTGCAGATTGACTTTAACCGTCCCTACGACCCCAAGAGGGATTTTTTCAGGGTGGAATACGTCATTGGTGAGTACCATGTGCAAGTCCTAGTCATGCTTCCATGGGCCGCGTTGCACAGAGGGGTGGCTGCAGGTGCGGCTGCGCTGTTTCCTTCACCCAGTGGTTGGAGCTGGAACTGCATCCAAGCCCTGGGTCATCCTGTGCCCTAAGAGGGGTCTGCATAATGCCAACACGGATGACTGGGGCTTAACCCAGTGAAGGATCTAATAGAAATAAAAGTTAGGACAATTTTCACAAAACATTAGTTAGCTACATTATGTTTCCCAGAACTGGTGGCTCAGGCATCCTGTAGCTGTGACTTAACTTACCATTATGACTGAATCAGTCTCCTGTGTTGAAAATATTTAGAAATCTTAGCATACTTCCATATACATATATATATAATATATATTTCACAAAGTTTGTTCCTCTCTAAGGTAGTACCACAAAGTGGCCCGTGCAAGATGGGATGGTCTTGTAAAATTTACAAAATACTTTGCTGCCGTCTCAGGTTCTGGGATTCCATTGCACTTCGGTCCAGTGCTTCTCAGATTAACTTGATCACAAAACCCTTTTATTAAGTTGTAGTGATTCACGCTGGACACATTTTGGTAAACGTTTCTCAGGAATTTACAAGTATAAGCAAACATGCACAGAGAGGCCCGAGTGGCTCAATATGTGGAAATCTGCTTATCTCATCCTAGACAAAAGGCAAGAAATAGAGAATCAAGTCAGTAGTCACTGGAAGGTACCTGATAGAGTTCAGCAACTGCTTATTATTTTCTAATTTTTAGAAATTTATTTATTTGAAAGACAGACAGAGCTGTCTTGTTGACCATCCAAATGCCCCCAGCAGCTGGGACTGGGCCAACAGAAGCCGAGAGCAGAGAGCTCAGTGTGGATCTCCCACATGGGTGCTCTCACCTGCTTCCCCCTAGTCTGTGAATTGGCAGAAATCTAGATCCAGGATCCAAATCCGGGCTGCACCCAGGCCTCCCACCAGCATCTCAACCCACCAGGCTGAAACACCAGCCCCATCAGCAGCCATTTTTTGAAAAAAGAGTTTAAGTGAAGAAGAAGTAGAATAAAATGCCTCATTTCCAATAAAATAATTTATTGTAAAACAACAACTTTCGATATCCCAAGTTGGGGGCGGGGGCAACTAATTGAATCTGAAATTAGAAATGTGTGCTGTCACCATCCGTTATCTTAAGCAATGTCTTAAAAGTTTTAGAAAGTACACAGTGTAAAAAAGTCTGCTATAAATGCTAAAGAATGAGAGATGAAACGGTGTGTTCTGCAAATACGATGGTTGTGTGTGTAGAAAACCCAATAGATTCAAGGCAAAAAAGCACAGCATTAACAAAACTTTGTAAAGATTGCTAGATAGAAGATAAATACCCCAAAATCAATAGCTTTCACCTTCTCCACCACTAAGCACCTAGAAATAGAAATGAGAAAAAATATTTCACTTATAAAAGTCACCAAAATTATAAAAGGTAGAATGAAATCTTTAGGAAACAAGACCTACAACCCATATAAAGGAGCTATTACATCTTAATAAAAGACACCAGAAATCAATGAACGGGAAACAGGTTCTTGGGCTGAAAGTCTCAATATATAAATTTTTAAGGTTTCCTTAAATGTTGGCCAAACAGTACAAAATTTCAGTGAGAGAGAGGAGAAGTTTTAATGCTCTATCACACAGCATGGTAACTTTCCTTAATCACGTTTGGTGCACTTCAAAATTGTTCTAAGGGTGGATTTTAAATCTTATCACCTCAAAGAAATAATTAAAATGTGAGATGATGAGTATGTTAATTAACTATTTAAATTGCATCATATATACAGATAACATCACATTGCACCCCATTGATAGTTACAATGACATCTGCCAATTTAAAAATTCTCCCAGTATTAATATGTTCGTTTCCAATTAGAATTCCAGTGGGGTTTCTGTGGGGTTTTGGGAGGAATTTTTTTTCATTTTAGACATAGATAAAATAACTTTAGAGTTCATTTGACGATACAATAACCAAGAAAACTGCAAAGAAATAACAAGTAATATTTTCTATATGCTCAGCATTGTAATGCATTATAAAAATATTTACTAGGAAACAATAGAGAATCCAGATATGGGTTTCTGTCTATAAGCATGGTTAATATAAGTGTAGGTTTCATAGACTAAGAAAAGTGTGTGGAGTTTTTTGTTTGTTTGTTTTTTTAAACGATAGTAGAACAACTGACTCTCCTTCTTAACGAAAATGGAAATTAACCCCATCTTATACTGTACACTGTAACAAATTGCAGGTGGTTATATTTGTACAACCTCCCATCCCAAATATCACAAGATAATATTTTTGGAAAGTTTAACAGATTTAACTATGACTGTAAACTCTGAAACTGTAATTTTAAAGAGCCACAAAAACGATATATGTGTACCAGTGGACCACAAATGTCCATGCATAAGACCAAATAACAAAATATAAATATATGACCAAAAGTATCACAAGTAAATTAATACACAGAAGGCAGATCTGGAAAATTATTCAAAATGTAAACCACAGATAAAGGGTTAACATGGAAAATATGAAAAAGCTCTTACAAGTTAGCATTATAAAACAAGCAATTGAAAAAGAATGTGAAAGAGACAATTAGTAAGAAAGGAAACCCGAGTAGTTTATAAGAGACTGGAAACGTCCTCAAAGTCACTAGCAGACTGGGAAAGCAAATCAAAGTGATACCTATCAGACTGGCAAAAATTTGGGAAAAAAAACATAGAAGTTTTTCCTAGACCATAATAAGAGAAAAGCATACCTTGCTGATATACATGCGCAATTTGATATTCTTTCTAGAGTAATCTGTCAATATCGCATGATATTGAAAATACATATCCCCTGTGGACTCCACTCCCAGGTGTCTATACCAAAGATATTTAAAATCCACTTTATCGAGGTGAGTATTGCTGACCATGGCCCTGTTTACAGTGACCAAAAATAAACACTGACGCATCTCTCAGCAGTGGAAGAGTTAAATAGGTTGTGATATATTCACTTAATGGACAATTGTTTTACAAAAGAACAAATTAAAACTGTGCCGGGTGACTTCATGAAAGGTAATGAATGAAGAAGCATATGGAAAAGTGCATGTATGATCCTCTCTCTCTCTCTCTCTCTCTCTCCCTGTGTGTGTGTGTAAATGTAGGATAGTCCCTCCTCGTCCTGAAACCACAGGTGGGACTGAAACCCAGGTACACACTGCTGTGGGTTTTCCTATCTGTAACTGTTAGAAAGTTTGGTTTATAAATTCGTCACTGTAAGATTGGCAATAGCTAAAAGGGTAATAGAGCAACCTTAACAATATGTTGTAATAAATCTGAATGTGGTCCCTGTCTCCCTTTCTCAAAATTGCTCATCTTACTGTCCTCACCCTTCTTCTCGCGATGATGTGAGATCACACGGTGCCTGGGTGATGAGAAGAAGCCGTGTGAATGATGGGGTCATGTGGCTTCGTGTTAGACCCCACAGCAGGGTTCATTGAACACAGATTCTGCTACACCCTGCCAGTCCCCATGCTTGATTACTGGAACAGCTACTAGGTGATGAATGGGCAGGTAGTGCACGCAGTGTGGATACGCTGGACAAAAGGATGCACCATGTCCCAGGCAGGAAGGAGCAGAACAGCTGCAGATGTCTTTCTTTTTTAAGATTCATTTATTTGAAAGGCAGAGTTACAGAGAGAGAGGGAGAGACAGAGAGAAAGGTCTTCCATCTGCTGGTTCACTCCCCAGATGGCCGCAATGGCTAGAGCTGGGCCGATCTGAAGCCAGGAGCCAAGTTTTTTTTTTTTTTAAATTTTTTTTTTTACAGGCAGAGTGGACAGTGAGAGAGAGAGAGACAGAGAGAAAGGTCTTCCTTTGCCGTTGGTTCACCCTCCAATGGCCGCCACGGCCGGTGCGCTGTGGCCAGCGCACCGCGCTGATCTGAAGCCAGGAGCCAGGTGCTTCTCCTGGTCTCCCATGGGGTGCAGGGCCCAAGCACCTGGGCCATCCTCCACTGCACTCCCAGGCCACAGCAGAGAGCTGGCCTGGAAGAGGGGCAACCGGGACAGAGCCCGGTGCCCCGACCGGGACTAGAACCCGGTGTGCCGGCGCCGCAAGGTGGAGGATTAGCCTAGTGAGCCGCAGCGCCAGCAAGGAGCCAAGTGTTTTCTGGTTCTCCCACATGGGATCGGGGCCCAAACACTTGGGCCATCTTCCACTACTTTCCTAGGCACAATAGCTACGCCAATTAAATACATTTTTACTTAGGATATTTTCAGCTTACAGTGGGTTTGTCAGGATGCAACCCCCTCGTAAGACAAGGGGCATCTGGAGCTGCCTCTCTGGGACTGCGGGCAAGCCTCTGGGGGCGACTCGGTGACTGACAGACGTCAGCGCCCAGCACTGCCAGCACCATGGGCGAGAGCCTGGGCAGCAGAGCCCGGGTCCCCGAGAGCGAGCACTTCAAGCCCACCCCCACCCCCCAGCTTTCTTTTTAACAGAGGAAACGGCACTACTTGTGCTCCTTATATAAAAACGGGCCGGGGGGCGGGGGGTGGGCAGCATAGCCCATCTGACTTCTGAGATAAAAGTCCATGTATTTTTTAAGCCACCGTGTCCCCTGACCCTTCTCATAGCCTGTGATGTCCACTTTAGGGGTAGCTGTACTGCAGAACAGGTGTCATTGTATTTGGCGATTTTCTAGTCCTGGATGTATGGTAGACACGAGAGAGGGAAATGGCCAAATTCCACATCCTGATATTTAGAACGCGAGAGAGCAAGCACACTTCTAAGGGGGCTGAGAGGACGGACGAGAGAGGGTTTCTCTGAACCAGAGTGGCATCCCTAAATTTCATGTCACTCAGGAAGTTCACACAACAACCTCAGCTTCCCAGGTGCGGCAGTGCTGAGACTGGAAGGAAGCGCTCCGTGGGCTTTCCCAGGGCCCTGGAAACAATTCTGTTAAAATGCAGCGTTTGTTTCGGGA